CCAGCCCAGCCCAGCCCAGCCGCAGCCCCAGCCCAGCCCAGTGTGGCCTGCTGGCTTCTCCGAGGCCGCAGCTGCAGTGTGGGGCTCAGCAGGGCATGTGCAGGGCGGGCCTCCCCTCCCTTCCCCACAAGGTCCACCTTGGGCTTCCTCCGGAGCCCCTGCCCTCACCCCCAGGGCCAGGACCAGCTTCAGAGGTTTGTCTGGGGGTGTCTGTTCTCACCTTTTCTCCATCGTGGCCTGGAGGGCCTGGCAGTCCAATCTCCCCCTGTGGCAGAACAACTACAGGTTACTGTCCAGGCAGAGGAGGTGACAGCTGTCACCGAGAGGCACTTCCTGTGCCAGGAGTCCTCAGGAGGCCTGGACACGCATGGTCTTCGTTCCAGGGTGAGGTCCCCAACACTGAGCGTGTGCTCAGCCCCCCGTTAGTGAGGAGTGGAGCCAGGACCGGAGTCTGAGCACCCTGGCTCCCGAAGTCCTCGTTTAGCCCCAAATCACGCTGCCACCAAGGGCCCTGGACACTCACTCCATGGCTCCATGGGCGGGGCGCTGCCTCTGTGTTCCCTGCAAACCCAGCCCCTCTGTCCAGGCTGCCCCACAGGGCACTGGGAGGAATTACAGGCCAGAGCGAGGTGGTGCTCTGGGAAGATGAGAGGGTCCTTTCACTTTCACACCAACCCATGCCCCTTCTCTAGCTCAGAGAGGGCGATGAGGGAGGCGTGGCCTCTGTCTTGGAGGCCAGGTGACAGCCAGCTGCACCACCAAGGCAAAATGCTGTAGGCGCTATGAGAGAAGCGAGGAAAGGACAGTGAATTCTGCCTGATAGATCAGGGGAGGCTTCAAGGAGGAGGTGAGCTTTGGAAGGTAGGGAAGACGGGAAGGGGTTTCAGGGTAGGGGGCCTCATGAGCAGAGGGCAGAGGGGCAAACATGCAAGGCCTTCTGAGAAAAACCACAGGGGCTGGGGCAGAGTATGAAAGGGAGCCAAGGCAGGGAGCGAGGACGGGTGAGATTGGGGATGGGTTCAAGGCCCTGTTCCCTGGTGGCAGGCTGGGGTCAGTGCTGTGGGTGTGGCTGGGGCAGGGTCTGTGGGGCAGGCTCCGCCACATCAGAGGGTTATAGGCGCCCAAGACAGGCAGCCAGGGAAGAGCGGCAGAGCCCAGGGTGGGAGGAGTGACGGCAGCTGGGGTGTGGGTGAGCCTTGGTGCACTGGGAGGAATTATAGGCTAGAGCGAGGTGGTGCTCTGGGAAGATGAGAGGGTCACGGGACGAGGGGTGGCCACGGGGTCCCACGCTCAGAGTCACATGGTCTGTAGGGTCAAGACAAGTGTTACCTTCTGGCCTGGGATCCCTGGAGCTCCAGGTGGGCCGATCTGCCCGGGAAGACCAGGGGGCCCCTAGGAAAGAAAACAGACTCAGGAAGGATGTTCTGAGGAGCGGGAGCGGCCTGTCACCAGAGGGGATAGATACAGGCTGGCTTAGAGAGAGCAGGCATTTTCACACCTTCTATCAGTGGCAGGAACACTGTTTTTGCAAAGGAGACAATATGGGGACTTCACAATGTACAGGTGATAGGCATGGAGTGTGTCTGGGTTAGAGGAGGTGGGATGCAGAGCCATGCCCAGCAGCCTCTGTCCTCCGGAGTGTGTCTGGGTTAGAGGAGGTGGTGGGATGCAGAGCCATGCCCAGCAGCCTCTGTCCTCCTGCCTCTGAGGCACCGCTGGGGCTCCTGGGCTTCCAGAAGACACATCTGACCTCCCGGACAGTGACTTAATAACGTGTCCAGGAAACAACCAAACGTCAGCCACAGGTGAAGGTCTGGAACATCGATGCAATGGAGCAGTGAGGGAAGAACAAGGCCTGCATCCGCCATGCCAGGGTGAGACCCCGACACACGGCGCTGAGCAAACGCAGCCGGACGCAGACAGCGACACACGCGTGCTCCCACTCCTGGGAGGCTCAGGGAAGACACATCTAATCCTTGGTGACAGAAGCCGAGTGGTGGCTCCGGGCTGGGGCAGGTGTGGGACTGACCCCCAGGCCCATCCATGGAGGAACTCTCGGGAGTGGCTGGGGTGGTGGATACATGTGTACGGACACATTTGTCAAAACTCAGCAAACTCTACACCTAGAAGGGGTGCATTTTATTGTTTGTAAATGATACAAGGCTGTTTTTAAAAGAAAAAACCCCACAAATAACATGTGTTTCCAGGAAAGTTTTGCTTCCAACAGCTATTTTGAATAATCCATTCTAATGTTTCCCAATGAAGCTCACGGATTCCAGGATCCCGTGGTTAACAGCAGTTTCTGGGACCGGGGCGTCCTGTGCTTGGCGCTTGGTTCTGGGTTCGTGTCGTCCCTAAGCGTGTCTGTGGCACGTGGCCACGACAGCATTGGGTGAAACAACACGCCAGCAGTTTGAGAACTTGGAGCCCTCCCCGTCCCCTCCACCTGGTGGTGGAGTTTGAACTACAAGTATTCACTGCAGGCGGCCACTGGTAGGCGTGTGTGCAAAACCCAGGCTTGGGATGCACTGGCTTTCCAGGTGCAGGTAATAAAATTGATTTGTAGGAAATGCAGAGGGTCGATACTCATGTTTCAGGGTTATGCACTTTATCAACTGAAGGTGGAGAAAAAGGAGAAACACAAAAGCATCCTCCTCTATACCCCTGTTTCCTTGACAGAGCTGCAACGGGAACCCAGCATTTATACTGTGCCAAGTATACTCTGCCTGGTAGATCAGGGGAGGCTTCAAGGAGGAGGCGCACAGCTGAATCAGCGAAGAGCCACTCCAGCAGGCAGCCATGATCAAGGCTGGGGACAGCTCCTGAGACCCCCTGTTCAGACTTAGGTCACCCTCCGCCCCAGCCCTGCAAGGCCAACCCTAACCCAAAAAAGCCCAGCGTCTGCCTTCGTGAGGCAAGACCTCCAGGCCTTGCTTCCAGCCCGCCCTCCCCATGGCCCCGGCGTTGGTGCCCGGGGAAAGTGAAGGAAGAGGAAGACTGATGGTCAAGGTCAGCGTCAGGGGCTCCTAAAAAACCACCACCATGCAATCAGGTGAAGGGCAAGTCAAGAGCCATCTGTCGGGTCTCCTCGGCCCAGTCACGGACCGTGGGAGCTGGGCCGCTCTAAGGAGTGGGCTCCGTGCCTCCCAGCCCCATGCACCCCCACCTCTCCCAGAGGTTTGTGATCAATGGGCAGGGAGCACCCCACATCTCACTGAATGATGCTCTGAGGCTGTCCTATGACAAGCCCTCAAATAGCCTGCGGCCTTTGCTTCACTTCGCCAAAGAGGGAGGAAGCAGCATCCCTTATGCTTTCTGGCCGCTGACTGGGAGCCTCCCTTGCTTCTCCCTCTTGTCCCAGCACCTAGATTTCAAGGTTCCGCTGCACCGCCCTTCAGACAAACAGACAGCATAGCAAACTATGGAATCACTAAAAAAATAATTAGACAGACAATTGTTGGCATTAAAAAAGGATGATACAGCTCGTAAATGGAGTCACGTCATTAGAACATTTTTTTAAAGGAGTGGCTCTCCACCTGAGGCAGTTTTGCCCCGAGGGGGCATTTGGCAGTGACACATTTTGGTTGTCATAACGGGTGGGTGCTACTGGCATCAGGTGGGTGGAGACCAGGCGTATGCTGAACACCCTGCGACCCACAGGACCCACCCCCCATAGCTCGGAGCAAAGAGGACCAGCCCCAACTATCGACACTGCTCCGGTGGAGGAGCTCTGCTTTCAGGGGCGGGTGTCATAGGAACTTGAAATACGATAAAATTGACGCAAAAGGGAGACGTGTTCCAGGAAGACATGTGAAAGGGGAGTGTGTGCTCTGAAGAAACGGGGCCCCCAAACCCTGGATGGGCCAACACCCTGCAGGGTGCCAGGATGCTCCAGGAATGGCTCTCAGTTACCCAGAGCCAGGAGAACTGGCCAGATGGGCCCAGGTGGGGAGCCAGGCCACCTGGATGCCAAATGAGCGGGCCATTTGCCCGGAGGCTGCGCAGTGCGACCCAAACTGCAGGCCAAAGGAGGGGAACAAGGGAGCCTGGCTCAGTGGCCTGGCCTCAGGGGCATCCATCCAGGTGTGCAGCTCCCTTCTCAGGCCTCCGTGCAGCTCGAGGCCAGCACCTCCCCATCTCTAGCCCCAGGCCAGCCCCACGCACCTGGAGCGCCTCGTTGATGCTGGCGTTGCACTCCACCGCCTCTCCTTTCCCTGGCTCTCCCTTGGAGCCCTGCAAGACAAACACGAACTCAGCCGCCGGGCCAGCAGGGAACTGACCACAGCTGCCGCCCGCTGTCTGTCAACTGGACCGTGGACAGCACTGGCTGCGCCTGGCTGCACACAGGTGGGTCCAGGGCAGCAAGAGGGGAGCCTATCGGGGACCCGAGCGCTCTCAGAGGGTGCCTGGGAGTTGGACTCCGTGAGCGCCTAACTAGATTGACCTGGAGTGACTGAGCCCAGTCCTGGCTGCAACGCCAGACCTCTTATCGGGGACCATCAAGCTCTTCTCCTCGCCCCTCAAGACCCCAGGGGCCAGCCACTTCACTCTGTGACCCCAGGGAGGTGAGATGTGCTGGGACTCCGGGTGAGATGCACGTACCTTGGGGCCAGCTGGTCCCTGTTCTCCAGGCGCTCCAGGGTCCCCCTATTGCACGACAAAACTGGGGTGAAATGGGGATAAAGCTGGGTACAGAGAACCTGATGCCTCCAGATGGGCCACGCGCTAGGGCCACGGGGCGGCCGGGAGACTCACCCTAGCTCAGCCACGAGGACGCAGAGCTCCCTGTGCCTGAAAGTGCAGGCTCCCTTCTACCTGGAGGCACCCCCCTCCTTCCCAGCTCCCCCAGCTTGCGCTGAGAGGTCTTCTTTCTGTCCTGCGTTAGCTGTTAGTGACTCCACCTTGTCCGCCTGCCACCCCCCAGCCCCCTCAGCCAGCACCTCCTTGGGCGCAGAGATGAGCCCTCTGGGTCTCCTCATTTCCATTCTGCTCAGGAAGCGAGGGCTCCGAAACCTTTTGCCAATTAATCGTCTGGGTCAGTATTTGCCATGAAGAGCCCATGCGGTACTTTTAGGGGCCCCTGTTTGTGAAAGATCCGAACCGCAGGACGGAACACGGGAGGGGTGGGGAGCGGAGGTATTAGGAGCCCCCAGCCTCCCTGAGCGGGGGACGTGAGGGGACTTTTTCCTGTTGGAAACAGGACAGAAGGGTGGGGAATAAATGAAACTGTGGTGTATATTGTGAGAACAAACCACACTTCAGTTGTTCTGGGATAATGTTAACATTGAGGACAATTTAAAAAATAAGATAGAAAGTGAAAATAAAGGAAAAGTGAACCCTTTAATGTAACTCAACTCATGAGGACACTGGAGGTGGAGCTCATGGAGCGTCCAGCCACTGCCACCTCCAGGTCACCTGCCCTCCGCCTCCCACCACAGCACACAGCACACAGCACCCACCGCCCCTGCACGGGGAGCAGCTGGCGGGAAGCGGGAGTCCCCTGTACCAGGGCTTGGAAGCTAACAGAGCAGGGGCTCTGGGCCACTCCCAGCCCCCACGTCCGGCCCCCGGGCCAGCCTTCGCATGACTGCTGTCTCAGGGGACAGACAGCAGCAGGAGTCCCAGCCGGTCAGCCTGTTCCCCGGGGGTCCAGCCGCAGGGGTGGCCACACTGATCTGGGACTTGAACTCCCAAGCTGACCCTCATCCTGCAGCTTTCTGGGGCCTCCGTACCTTGTCCCCCTGCTTTCCGGGGGGGCCAGCCTGGCCATGGACACCAGCTTCTCCCTGGGGAAGGAGAGAGATGGGGTGAGGGCCTGCAGGGCACCTTGGACAGCCGCTCAAGGGGGCAAGATGTCCTGCTGTTAATGTCCTGGCTATTGTGTCTTTGAGTCTCCATGTCTTTCTCTGCTGGATTCTACGAACTCACCCCATTCCACCTATCTGACTTCTACCCACGCTTGGGCCCAGCCCGGCTCTCACCTCCTCCTGGCAGCCTTTCTATCTACTCCCTTCCTCCTCTGAGGTCTGTTCTCACCACTGGCTGGTGTCCACCCCTTGCCACCCACCCTCCCCCGCAGCCAGGCCATCCTCAGTTCTCAGTTGACATACATGTGCCCAGTTCTGTCTTGGCCCCAAATGTGGATGCCAGCAGCCCTTGGCGGGTCATTTTGGAGCCTGAAACACTTGCAAAGGCACACCTCACCCTGCCTGGGGGGGGGGGGGGGGGAAGACCCTGGGCCTGTGTGTATGTGGGGGGACAGAGGGGAGTGCTGGAGGCCTAGGACAGGAGGGGATGGGGAACTAGGAAGAGGCCCATCCCAAACACGTCACTTATTAAACATCTGCCTGGACTTGGAAAGAGGATGAGATTTTGGGAACAGTCTTCTAGCTTCCCCTTTCTTTTGTCCCAGGGCGTGAGGACAATAGTGACCAGGTTTCTCCGACCCTAAATGAAGGCCCCAAATGTGCCAGCCATTCATGCCCTGTGGGGTCAGAGGGACAAACTCCAAAACTTGGAGTGTCTGGGAACCCGGTGGCAGGGCTACCTCTGGCAAAGCTGGTGCTCATGTCAGGGAGGCTCTGTCCCTGCCACAGTCAGATAGGCCTAGGGCCGTGGTCGGCAAACTGCAGCTCGCGAGCCACATGCGGCTCTTTGGCCCCTTGAGTGTGGCTCTTCCACAAAATACCGACTTCTGCACATGGGCCATGAAGTTTCAATCGCACTGTACGTGCATGCCCGCATGTGGTATTTTGTGGAAGAGCCACACTCAAGCGGCCAAAGAGCCGCATGTGGCTTGCGAGCCGCAGTTTGCTGAGCCGCAGTTTGCCGACCACTGGCCTAGGGCATGGGCACGGGGAAGGAGAAGCCACATCTGCCTGTGAGGTTCCTCGTGCTCCCTGCACTGTATTCCTGCGAATTGTGGCTCTGTCTGTCCTGTCAGATTGCGGGCCAGCCCACCATAGCAGCCCTTGATAAACGCCAGTCAGTGGGGTGAATGCGTGTGCTGCTGCCAATCACGTAATTAATCTTTTCCTTATGAGCTAAGAAAGGGACCCCCTCACCTCCCCTGCTGCTAAAATAAACCAAGGAAGCATCTGCTTTGGGAAGCCCGAGTCTTACCCTTGCAGTTTCCACAAAGAGCAAGGAAAGGGTGGGCAGCCAGCTGTGTCCCGGCCACCATCCTGCTCCCCGAAGTGTACCAGCACAGGTGGGGCTCAGCAGCTCGCTGGCCTGAGGCCTATTTAGAGCCCAGAGGAGGGGCCTTTCTGGCTGTCCTAAGGCCCTGCAGTCGCCAGCCCCTGACTCAGTTACATCATAGTCATTTGAGTCAATGGGACCAACCCTCTGTCCTGGGTGACATCTCTCCTGGATGCCAAACAGTCTCTGCTTGGAAGTAGGCGCTCAGGCCAAACGACCTTTCCAGAATCCACGGGAAAACCACACACACTAGGGAAGGCAAGGTGCCCAGGACACAGAGTCCCCAAGAACAGGTCGAAGTAAAGGCCTCAGGCAAACATCTTCTGTGAGCACTGATCCCAGGGGAAGACTCACCTTTGGCCCTGGGGGCCCGGGGAGCCCTGGGGGGCCGGGCTCCGCTCTGCCTCCTCCAATGGAGTTGCCAGAATCGCCTTTCTCTCCCTGGGGGTGGAAAGGAAGAGTTATTAGTTCTTTCCTCACAGTTCAGGCTAAATTTGGTAGGGGGTGGGGGTGGGCATTAGGGGGCTGTGGGCTCCAGAGGCCTTCAGAAGCCTGGCCTAGTCTGATCCAGCCGCAGGTTTTGAGGAGAGAATAGAGCTGGCTATTGAAGGGGAACAGGCTGAAACAAGAGACCTATCAGAACCTGGGTCTGGAACAGCGTTTCTCAAAGGATGTTCCATGGGCCCAGTAGGCGTGGCTCAGTGGTCACAGTTCGATTCCGGTCAGGCCACATGCCAGGCTGCCGGCTCGATCCCCAGTGGGGGGCGTGCAGGAGGCAGCTGATCAATGATTCCCTCTCATCATGGGTGTTTCTACCTTTCTCTCCCTCTCCCTTCCTCTCTGAAATCAATTAAAAAATACATATTTTAAAGGGTGTTCCATGGAACACTTCTTCAGGGGGTTGAAAATATTTGAAATGTGAAAAAAAGGGGTCTGGTGGCCAAACAATGCTAGGAAAGGCGGAATGAAATGAAGCTTTTCGAGTTCCTTCATGCAGCGTGCTCTGAGCTCTGACAGGCGACAGTGCCTGTCACTGTTTAAGGGGCCCCTTACCCAGCTCTCCCACACTTACCTGACCTCTAGTCTGTTTTCAAGTGCACTATCTTATGGAGCTCATGTACCACTGAGCACATTTTCAGAGCTGCTGCAAAGAAGTCTGACCAGGTCATAGCCATTGAAGTCTTTGAATTTGGGCATTGTTTGGCCAATTAGGGCCTCCCATGTCGTACCTCTTTACCCCCCTCCTCTGGGAGGGAATGTGGGCGGGGATGGACATCAGACCTCTACACGCATCTCACCATGCAGAGCTCCTCAATACCCACCTTCTGCCCCAGGAGGCCAAGGCCCGCGGCGCCTTTCTCACCCTGCGGAGAAATGCAGACAATGTGGGTTAGAAGAGCTCCTCTAGGATGTGGGTGAGGCCTCACCCCGCCAGCGCCAGGCCTTGGCTTTCCTCTCTCCCACCTCCCTGCCCCTCCGTGCGCTGTTTTCTGAAGGACTCCACTTCCTGAAGGGCCCCCACCTGGCCCAACTCCTTCTTAAGACCACTTCACACTGGGGACAGCCTGCATCAGTGCTCACAGGTGGGCTGGGCCCCCATCACTCGTGCGAGAGGGGAGCCAAGAGCGCTTAGGCCTTTTTGGGGGAAGGATGAGCAGCGTGGAGCCAGGCATTTGGGAAGCTCTTCCTTTTAACCACCGTGCTCTTTCCATGTTCATGTTCATCGGGACCAACCACTAGAAGCCCCTGGTTTCCAGGGAGAGCCTTCTGCCCACCTCCTCCTGCCTCTAAAGACAAGACCAGCCCAGCCGGCATGGCTCCATGGATGAGCATCGACCTATGAACCAGGAGGTCACGGTTCGATTCCCGGTCAGGGCACATGCCACGGTTGTAGGCTCGATCCCTAGTGTGGGGCGTACAGGAGGCAGCCGATCAATGATTCTCATCATTGATGTTTCTCTCTCTCCTCCTTTCCTCTCTGAAATAAATAAAAAAATATTAAAAAATAAAAAAGACAAGACCATCTAACCAGGACATCTCTTTGGAGGAGTATTTTGAGAAGCTTGCCTCCTGTTATGGGTTGAATTGTGCCTCCTCCTCCCCATTGTATGTTAAAGTCTGAACCCCCAGTATCTCAGAATATGACCTTATTTAGAAGTGGGACAGTGGAGGAGTAATTACATTGGAGGTGTAATTAGCTATGTTATGAGGTCATGCTGGAGTGGGGTGGGCCCCGAATCCAATATGACTGGTGTCCTTATAAGAAGGGGAAACTTGGACAGACATGCACATGGGGGAACCCAAGTGAGAGTGAAGGCAGAGATGGGGTCTATGAGCTGAGGACCAGCAAGGATGGCAGCAAACCCAGAAACCAGGAGACGGGCCTGGGCTAGATGCTCCCTCACAGCCGCAGAAGGAACGACCCTGCTGACACCTGTTCCTCAGACCACTGGCCCCCAGGCGGGGGGACAATACACGTCTGTGGGTTGAGCGACAGTGTTTGTGGTCCTTTGTGGGGCGCCCTCGCTAAGGAACACCCCTCATAGCTAGCTCCTTCCTGAAGAACTCTCCCCCTGACCTGGACCACAGAGCCCGCCTCGGTGCAGAGGGGGAGGCTCTGCCTGTGAGCAGCTGCCCTGTGTCGGCAGCAGAGCTGGTCTCACAGGCAGGTCTCCTGAGGCTCCACCTCCGACCCAGCGTCTCACATCAGGAGCCCCCAGAGCACCGCCAGGTCAGCGTGGGGAGCTCCACTCTCCACAGCCTGAGGATGGCGGTCACATGTGTGGTTACATAAACTGAGGGCCCTGGGTCATAATTTGCTCAGACGTCTCACTGACTTGTCCAGCTGGAGCCACACAAGGAGCCACACCAAGTCACTGGGGGTCATCCCCTTGCTACCTGTCCTTGGGGAGGAGCTGAATGGCACAGTGGCCTGGAGCTGGCCAAGGAAGGGAAGGAGGCTGGGTGAGTGCCCACGTGACAGGAGGACAGCAAGTCTTGGGAGCCCAGCAGGCCCAGCTCTGCCTGGGCTGTGCCTTAGCAGGCATGCCCTGAAACAGCCGGGAAGGGATGCAGTGCCGTCTACGGGGGTCCTGGGGGTGGGGATGGAGCGAGGAAGGGCCTTCCTTCTGCTGGGTTCTCCTGGGTAACCCATGGCTTTCAAGGAGGGAGCGTTGCTCTCGAGTGGAATTTCTGCAGCTTTGCAGGCTGTCCCTGCACTGTCCTCCTCCTGAGGGTACACGCACCCATTGCACACGGCAGGCAGCACCCTAGTCACGGGAGGGAGAGGTGGGCAGGGAGTGGGGGACCAGCACTCTCAAAGGCACAATATCCTACCCTCTGCCCCCTCTTTCCTGGCAAACCTGGGGGCCCCAGCTTTCCTGCCACTCCTGGGTCTCCCTTTGGGGTAAGAAGAGAAAGTCACTCCTAAGAGGATGTAGGTGGGGGTCATGAGGGGTATAATGGACAGCGATCATAGACGGGTGTTCCTAGAACCCTAGTCCCATAAGATGCTCCTCTGAAAAAAAGGAGGCCCTGGTCAAAAAAAGTTGGACATTCTTCACAAGATATTGCCTTTTCAAAGCTCTCCAATGCACATTTAGCATGTTAAAGGCTCTGAGAAGGCCTGCACGAAAGAAACCCGTGCAATATTTTTAATCCTCTATTTCCCAAACATACTTGACCATGGGAACTTTTTTTCATGTTACATCCCTTAATGAACTAGATGAGAGAGACAGCCCCCAGGCGCAGGGGACAGCAGCTCCTGGCTGCTGGAGCAGGTGTGCAGGCAAACCGGCCGAGCTGTCCAGCCAGAATCCAGGAGCAGGGAGGCACTTGCTGTGCAACCCTGACAAGCAGGCCCCTCCCTGGCAGGCTGTCCTCTGCTCAGTCAGGTCCCCAGCCCCAGGCCCACCTCAGGGGGATCAGGAGTGAGAAACAGCAGCGGCCCCTCCCGCCTCCCCTGACACCTGATGCTCCTTGCAGCCCAGACATTCCCTGTGTCAGTACCTTGGCTCCTGGGGTTCCTGGTTCTCCCTGTGTAGGAAAAAAAAGATTCAGGTAAGGAAATAAGAGGGCGTGAGAGAGCGGGGAAGGGAGCAGGAACCAATGAGCAGAGCTACTCTGGGGGGAGGCGAAGCGCCTGGCCAGCTCAGCCTTTCCTCGGTGTAGACCTCAAGCCACAGGCCAAAGAGGCCTCCTGGACCACCCCTTATTCTCCACCAGGTGAGGCGTGTGTCTGGTGTGGGTGTCAGTGAGGCCCCGCAGGAGAGGGAGAGGTGCCCCTGTAAGCGGACCTGCCGGAGAGCCACACCGAGCACTTGTGCTGCTGGGTGTTTCCACCGTCCGCCTGCCAACCACATGGCAGTTAGGGTGGGTTCAGGAGGAGGAATCCAGCTCCTCTCCCTGAAGCTTTGCAAGCAAGTAGCTGTGAAATTCCAGTGTGAAGGAAAGCTCTGGCTCCACTGCATGGCAGGAGGGTGAGACCTATAGCTGAGAATGGTAACCCTTTGCTACTTCCTTGTAAGCTTAGGTAGACACTGGCTGTTCACGTTATGTGTGCATGCACCTGACATTGGCTGTTCAAGTTATGTGTGCGTGCACCTGACATGGGCTGTTCAAGTTATGTGTGCATGCACCTGACATTGGCTGTTCAAGTTATGTGTGCGTGCATCTGACATTGGCTCTTCAAGTTATGTGTGCATGCACCTGACATGGACTGTTCAAGTTATGTGTGCATGCACCTGACATGGGCTCTTCAAGTTATGTGTGCATGCACCTGACATGGGCTGTTCAAGTTATGTGTGCACGCACCTGACATGGGCTGTTCAAGTTATGTGTGCGTGGATCTGGCAACAATGCTGCTTCAGGAGAAATGTTTCCCAAGCCTGTCTGCCCCCTCCTTGGTTCAGGACCTCTGAAGCCCTAACGCTGTCCTCCTCTCTCCATCTCTCCCACATTACCCCTCCGTGTTGAATTACAGCGTTTCACTGACCTTCATCCCCGCCACGGCGATGCCAGGAGCCCCCTGGCAGAGAGAAGAAAAGGCATGGAGACGTCCGCAGTCAGGGGGAGCACAAGGAAGTGGCCAGCCTCCCAGCCTCCCCTTGGGGAGATGCGAAGGTGGACTGTTCATGCCTGTGTACCGCCCAAACCCACGGGAAAGGAGGGGTGCTGAGCTTGGCACAGGGAGGGTGGGTCCCAAGGAAGAGGCTCTGTGCAGCACAGCTGGGTGCCCAGGGTCCCATCCACCTGCTCAGCACCTAGGCTGTGCTGGGAGACACAGTGGGCATCGTGGCAGGATGCCCACAGGTGAGCTAGATGGGCATCCCTGGGGTGAAATGAGGGAGGGCTTCGTTGGGATAAGAGAAAAGGAGGAGGAGATGGGGGAGGGGAAGCAGGGAGAGCCCTGGGGAAGGGGAGAAGAGTAGATGGAGATGTCACCACGTACGTACAGTGCCCCCCAGTGTGTGTCAGCAGGCCTCTCCTCACAGGAAGCTCTCTGGATCTACGCTCTCAGGGACTGGGGAGCAGCTGGCAGTGAACCCCATTTCTATATCAGCTCAAGACCACTGACTTTTGAAGTGCATAGGCTTCCAAACACACTGCTTAGTAAACCCCCCGTGGAGGTGATGTTAGGGGGTGTCTACTCCTCACATGGGCCTCAGGACTGCAGCCAGAGCTGGGGTTACGCAAGATTATTATGACCCAAAGATGCCCAGAAGGAGGCCTGGCCATTTCAGAAGGGCACTGGTGCATGATGGGGCCAAACAGGAGCCAAACAGGGCAGCCCTGCCTGGAAGGACAGGCTGCACAGCGAGGGGCGAGGGCCTGGGAGGATATGCACCCCCAGTCTTCACCGTGGGACGTGGGAAGGAGGAGCGTGGGAGAGAGGTCGGGGTGGGGGCGGGGCTGCCTGGGTGTGCTGAGGGGCAGGTACCTTCACTCCGTGTTTGCCCGGCATCCCTGGCATGCCCCGTTCTCCCTGAAGGAAGAAACAGAGAAACGATGAGAAGAGGACCAGACTCAGGGCCCCGAGGATGTCACTGAGAACAGCTGGTCTGGAAGCTCAGGACAGTTGAGCTCTGGCAGTCACCGCGGGCCACTCAGCTATGTGAACTCGCACAGGGGTCCAAGGCATGTGTCACAGTGAGGGAAAGGCACCCAGAGAGAGCGGCCACCACAGGAGCCGAGTCCTGTGGGGATGGGGGGCAGGGAGCTGTTCAAGATCTACTGCCAGCGGGTCTGGAACTCAGTGCTGCGGGTAGGAGCGGGCCTGGGCCACGCACCGACTGCACATCCTCCCTCCCGCCCCGCCTAGCACTTCTTGCCCGTTTTCATTCCAGCAGCCCTGCTCCTCATCTCCCTCTGGGGCTCCTTTTCCTCCAGGTTCCTTGGGTCTAACTCCTCCCAGGGGCCTGTGGGCCTTGGCCCCACGTGGCAGAGGGTCGGCCTGTACTTGGGTGGTGGGGGACTGGAGATGAACCAGGCGCCACCTGGCACCTTCCAGAGGCACCAGGACAGCTGTCGCCGCTCCAGGATCTCATGGGTGTGCGCTACCAGCTCAGCAGTGTCTCCAGCCTCTCGTACCTCCCCGTGAAAATACCACACGGATGGGAGGGGCTGAGCTCAGGACACAACAGGAGGAGAGGGGGTGGGGATGCCAGCCAGCGGCAATGGGGGCTGCCGTGTTAGGGTGACCAGGGGAGGGAGAAGAGCAGCTCCTGTCTCCATGAGTTGAACCCCAACTGAAGCCCCAGGCAGGGCCCAGAATGCCGTGCAGCTACAGGTGACAACGGCCGGCCTGCTGCAGCTTCCTGCGAGGGAAGCCAGCGCTGTGGGTGGCCATGCCCAACCCCGCCCGGCCCAGCTTCCTCTCTCAGGCCAGCGGGCACGGCCACAGGCCATGCTGCCGTTCCCACAGGCTTCAGGCAGAGGGCGAACCTGGTCCCACCTCAGCTGCCCTCACCCCTCTCTGCATCTGACAGGCAGTCCCAGTCCACCCCGCGCTCACCAAGGACAGAGAGGCTTCTCACTCTGCTCCAGGACTGAGCCCTCCCTGTACGTAAGCTGGACAATAACACTCCCTACTCAGAACAGCCGCTGCCTGGCACTGACCGGAAAAGCGGCCGGGATCCTGAGCATGGCCTTCCATCCTCGCTTCCTTCCCACCCCCATCTCCTCATAGCCTGACACCTCTTCCTGCTTCCCTGAAAACACCACCCACTCTCATGACTTCCTGTTATTTCCTCAACACCCTACTCATTGATGGTCACACACCATCTGCTCTGTGGAGCCTTTTGCTATGCCCCGAGCCCAGTGCTGGTTCCTCAGTGCAGAAGGACCCTGTGCATTTGTAATCTGAGCACAAAACCACGTCGGCCTGGGATGGCTCACCTCCATTCTTTAGGGACAAGTCTCTGAATTCTGCAAAAGGCTCAGCAACTTTAGCTCCAAACCCAGGAGCCCTTTCTCATCCTGACTCACCAGGACCCCTGAGCCACAGGCAGTGACCACAGCAGATAAGCCAGTGGCCCAGATCTGCCCTAGCCACCAAATTCTGGGGACCCCCTCTTATGGGAAAGAGCAGAGAAAGGCATGGCCATTTACTGCATCTGCCATGCGTCTGGCACCGGGCTAAGGGCTTTTCATCTTTCTACTCAGTGTCTAGGAATCTACTCCGGAGTGGGAGTGGATGTTACTCCTGCTTTACCGGTGAAGAAACTGTAGCTCAGAGAGGCCGGGTACGATTGTCAAGGTCATGCAGAGCAGGGATGTGAACATAGGTCTTTTGCCTGCCAAAGCCCAGGTACCCATTTCTCCAGACCAACCCCAGCGTCGGCTGGGCTGGTGTTCCACCTGCTTCTGTTAAACACCTTCTGCAGGCTGAAAGCAGGCAACACCCTCTCTGCTGGAGGGCCCTGGGTCTGTGCCCCACAGGCATGAAGGAGTGGGCCAGGCCTGTGAGGGCAGCTCAGCCCAGAGCCCTGGGGTGGTCTTTAACCATAGGCGCCCAGAGAAAAGTGCGGGTCTGCTATGTGGCCAGCAGAGGGCACCCCAGGACCTCGTCAGGAGTCTGGCAACAGGCCTCCAACCCCTTCCCAGGAGAGCCAGCTGAGGCTCCTGTCACTCTTTCCTTTAGGACCAGGAGGCCCTGCTAACATGCCAATCAACCCAAATGAGTTGACTCAGCCCCTAGGACATCAGACAGAGTCCCTGGGGTGGGGTAGAGGTACAAGTGGGAGGTCAGCTTGGGGGTCCCTGACTATCCAGGGATTTCCCATTGGTCCTGCCCTGCCCTGCCCTGCTCCTGTCTTTCCTTCCATGCCCCTGCCTCCCCTTCCCACCTCCATGTTGAGGAGCTGATGGAGTCAGGAAAGGCTGGCTGTGTGACTCCAGATAAACCCTGTTCTCTCTCCGGGCCCAGGACCCCTACCTGCAAAGTGAGATTAGACTAAATAAACGCTTTCCAGCCACTCCTGCTCCCCCATCTTCTCCATCGCCCCCAGCCCTGCCTGTGGGAGACCCTTAGGAGGGAGAGAGGCCACGGCCAGGGAGGGGACACTGGGTCTGCTGGCAGGTCCAGGACAGGGCTCCCTGGTGGAGCAGGTTAGCTCTGGGTAACACTGCGGCTCTCGGAGGCTCTCTGCCTTCTCCTCCTGCCCCCGAGAGACAGACAGCTTCCTGTGCCTCAGCAGGGAGGAGGGTGGGCTCCGGGCGCCTGTCTCCCGTCTCCACAGGAGCCATGCAGAGCAGGCGCTGGGAGTGAGGGCTTCCGGCTAATTGGGCTTGTCTTCAGCGCATGTGGGTTTGTCTGTAAAGACACAGCCATGCCCTCCAGGGAAATCCGGCCCCTGGGAGCCTCCTAAGGAGGCAGCCCTCCTCATTAGCGTGGCTGACCTCTGCCCCCTCCCTCCCTCCTGGGTCAAGTCTCTTAATTCTGCAAACGACTCAGGCTCCCTTGATCCCCATTCTCAGGGCCTCCCTCACTCCCAGCCCTTTGCTGGGCAGGAAGCAGGGGCGCCCTCCACTGACCCACCCTGCGGGCTCAGTCCACTCTCATCAGCCTCCTTTCTCCAGGGCCTGTCTCCACGGGCGTGCGCCAGCCTGACCTCTGAACTGGGGACGGTGCTGTCCTAACAGAAAGCGCTGGTTCCTGGACGGTGGCCGAGGTGAAAGAGGGGTGAGAGTCATTGTCAAGGACTCGGGGTGGCTGTGGCAAGCATGCTTGTCTGCAGGGAGGAGGCCGATGCCTGTGCACACAGCTTTCCCTGGTGGCCCATCTCAGCGAGGGCACATCTAGAGGGTCCTTTCCCGGCTTTCTTCTTAAAAATGTTCCTTTTTAAAGGTTAAGTTTGGAATCGTGCTGACTTTAGACCCACTAACTCACCGGCTTATCTTAGGTGGGAAGGAGCTCCCATAGTCTGTCAAAGCCCCCGGCCCCCTTTACCCCTCTATCTTTGCCTTCTCAGGTCCTCCCAACCAGGAGCCTCTGGGTGGGTGTCAGCCACTGGGTCTGGCGTCCTCCAGCTGGGGAGTGGGTGCCTGGGCGTTACAAAGGCTCTTGCCCCAGGGGCACAGAGCATGGGTGGCACAGGCTGCTGTGGGACCAGGCTTGTGACCCACAGGCGGCGCCGACCCACCACCTGGTTCTTTAACTGTGGTGCCGAGAACCAATGCCTGATGGCCGGCCTGGGAGGGGTGGGTTCCATTCGTCGTGGCTAAGCAAGCTCTGGGTGAGCACAGGTGGGGGGGTGGGGGGGATGCCCTGAATGACCTTGAGGACCTGTCCCAGCCAGGACTTCACAATGTCACTGACTCTCAGCTGGGCCCTGCCTGTGCTCTCACTGCAGCATCAATAGGTTCTCTATGCTGGTCCTGGCCTCCAGGTGAGGACCCATCCTTTACCCAGACGACAGGATGGAAGCGAGCTCCTTGGAGCACAAGCTGGCCATGCTCCCGTCCAGGGGGAGTGGCCTCCTAATTGGTGATTTACTGTTTGTGGAACAAGCGGGGCAGGGACTTGGCAAGAAAACGTAGTCTGGAAGGAGGTGGGGGCTTCAAAGTCAGCTCCCCAGCCCAGCAAAGGTCAGGCCAGAGAAGCTCGGGGAGATGAATGGACCTCCCTAACGCTGGGTGGGGGGCCCAGGGCCGAGGCAGCTCCACACACAGACTCTTTGTTCTCTGCAGGGAGGAGGAAGACCTGTCTGAGCGGGGAGTGGAGGGCTGGGGGGAGGCCAGGAGGCAGCTCTGGCCTCAGGCCTGGGCCTGGCCCTTTCCTGGGCTGGAAGATCCGGGTGAGGAGGGCCAAGGTCTTTCTCTCACCTACAGCGTTCCCAGGACTGCCTTCCGGGAAGAGGGCAGCTCAGCGCCCTGTTCCTGCTCTAGCAGCTCCGGAGCAGGGAGGCCCGGGGCCACGGAAATGCCAGGCCCTCCGGTAATTGGGGCTGGCAGGAAGTGATCTGGGGAATTACCGGGTCAGGCGCCCCATCGAAGGCCAGGGCTTTGGAAGGGCGGCTGGCTTGTAATCTCGATTTGAGATCGGGTGATTTTGTAGTTAGTTCCAAAAAGAAAAGTCAGCTCTAATTAATCCGTGGACTTTGGAGTGCAGGAGAAATGGGGCCCAGAGAGCGGAGGCTGGGGCTGGAAACCGGCAGAGTGGGAGCCCGTCAGCCTCAGATTTGGAGCCCATGCCTCATCTCCCTGATCGGCCTTAATTTAAATGGCCTGGCTGTCCCCACTGGGATTTCGTGGCTTTGAAAGAGTGCTGTCCCCATCCCAGACGTTTCTGTATCCATGGCTTCATCTGGACGAAGCACTCTGCCTGTGAGCCCGAGAGAAGCCTGGGGGTGCGCAGGTCCTCTGGGGGCCAGAGGGGCGCAGGAAGGTTCCGGAATAGCTGCAGTGCGGGGCTGAGCCAAGCTGCCTCCTCCTGGCTCTGTTGGAAGCCCCGGGACCATGCCAACTCCCTGCAGGAATCACTGAGGCGAAATCGGTGCCAGTGGAAAAAACACCACACTCCCTTGGTTCTTCAACTAAAATGCACCGCGCACCCCATGCTTTCTGCCGTCGACACTCCACGTACTGCTCACAGAGAGCCGGGGGGCTCAGAGAAAGGCCCGGAACCAGCCACCACCTTTCCTCACAAGAAGGAAAAGAGCTCAACACTCACCTCCTTTTCTCCTAGTGGAGGGGGAACTGCCTACTGGAAATCCTGGGGCCCCCCAGGGCTGTAAGGCCCAGGTGGTAGTCATTCAGAGCAAGGCTTTGGGGTCAGACAGATCTGACTCCACCACTTCCAGGCTGTGGGCCTTCGAGGGTTCACCTTTGTGAACCTCAGTTTGTTCATCTGCCAATTACCCCCAGCTGTAAGTCCCAGGTGGTAGTCATTCAGAGCAAGGCAGATCTGACTCCACCACTTCCTGGCTGTGGGCCTTCGAGGGTTCACCTTTGTGAACCTCAGTTTGTTCATCTGCCAATTGGGGATGAGGATAGAAAGCACCTCAGAGGGTTGTTATAAAGATCTAGTAAGCTGATGCGTGCCAAGTGCCTCATACACAAACTGGCATGTTGAAGAGGCCCCGTAACGTAGCTGTAATAATGCTAATCGCCATTCTACGGGAGTGTGTCCACCACATGGCCCCTTGCTCTGACCGGCAGATCAGAATGGACACGTCCTCTTGTAGAAGGACTGAGGAGCGGTGGGGAGGCTGGGGTAGCTGGAAAATGAGGACTGAGCTTCCACTCCTTACACCCCCACCTCAGTGTCCTAGCCATCCAACCACAGGGCTCATGGGCCTGCTCCCCTGGGAGTCCCTGTTTCTCGGGAGCCAGGAGCCTCCAGGAGGGGTGACTGCAGTTACCAGCGGCTCTAGCACGAGGTTCTCACATCCCGCCCCCTCTGGTCTGAAAACGCACAGCCCACAGCTGTGGAAGGGAGCGTGCGCTCAGCCACAGTCCTTCATGCAAACCCGGGGACTTAACACCCAGACCACCACATGCGTCAGACGCACCCCCCTGCGGAGACAGACTGACCAGCTCCGATTGCTTAGAGATAAGCCCTCACCGGGTTTGTGATCCACATACCGTCTGACAATCCTCGTCAATCCCCGTGAAAGAGAGCCAGGGTTGTAATGTTTTAAACACACTTTGTGTCTTGCAACATATTTAAAGGAGATTGGCGTCATAAATTTGGATCAAATAGGTACCACATGGGCGCACAACAATACTCGCAGTGTCTGGGCGGCGGGGCTGGCCCTGAGTGGGGCTGGGGCAGCACAGGGCCCGCTGGCCACACCGGGCTTAGATCCCGAGGAGCTGGGGCAGAGCCTGCCCTGCTGGCGGGCTGGCCTCTGGGAGGCTGCCAGGTTGGGTCCAGTTGCTGGGGGAGAGGGGGTGGATGGAGCTAATCATTAGCAAAGTTCATGGGCTGAGAAACATCTCTGCTGAGAGCTAAGTTCCACCCCGTGCTGGAAGAGAGGCCTCCCCACATGGTGTCACGTCGCTGGGGCACAGCAATCGAAGCAGATGCGGAGGGTCCCTCGGTTACCCCGCAGGTCCCCCTCACAGCCTGGCCCCGGGCCCAGCCCTGTGTTCCCACCTGCCAGCACTCGCTCCTCCCTGGGGTGGGGAGCCAACTCGTCTCAGCACCTGTAATCAGGGGCCTCCTTACCGTGCCTTACTCCAAGCAGAGAGCAGAGAGGGGAGAAGAGAGTAACAGGGAAATGATGGGCAAAGGAAGGATGCTTGGGGGCGAGCCCTCTGCTGCTGGCCACCAGTCCCCAGTGCATACCCTCTGGGCTTTGTTGAAGTAACGACAGAACGAGGATCCCGGCACAGGGAGGGTCAGCCCAGACATGAGGGTGCGGAGACCGCCTCGGGCTCCAGGAACACCTACTGACCAGACTCAAGGACAGGCTGGGAGAAGTGGAGGCCAGAGGAGCCTTCCAGAAACCCGAGCGACATTAGAGGGAGATACCGGCTCACAGCCCTGCAGACTCCACAGAGGCCGCTGGGGAAGGGAAGAGGGGGTGGTCTGATAGAGAAAGGAAGGGCGAGGAGCAAGAGCCCAGCATAGAGAAGAAGAGCCTTCTCAGTTCCTCATAGATCTACAAGGGGTGACGCTTGTGCCCTGGATAGGTGGCTTGGTTGGAGCGTCGTCCACACACTGAAAGGTCCTGGGTTCGAGTCCCCATCAGGGCACATATGGGAGGCAAGAAATTAATGTCTCTTTCTCACATCTATGTTTCTTCTCTCCTCTCTCTCTCTCTCTCTCTCTCCCTCCCTCCCTTTCTCTAAAGATTAGTGAACATGTCCTTGGCTGAGGATTTAAAAAAAAAAAAGTGGTGATGCCTGTCACAAGCCTGATGTAGGTGAAGAAAGACCTGGACAAAGGCTGGAGGAGACCTGCACTCCTTCCACAGCCAGGGGCGCTCTCTATGGAGATGGAGCCGACTCTGTCCCCAGGAAGCCATAGTTTCCCTGACCTGGAAGGGATTTTAATCCTGTCTCCCATCTGATCTAGAAGCTGCTCAACACATGCCAGACCCTACCCGAACCCCTCCGGTGACAGGGAGCTCCCTGCAAAGGTACCCATCAGCACTGGCGCCGGCCCTTCCATGCCGGAGCCTCTCTCGCAGCCCTGAGCCGTCTCTCCCCAGAGCAGGCTTCCCGGGGCCAGGAGCTGCCCCCTGTCAGCAGCACCACAGCGGTTTTCTTGCAAATGCAATGCAGTCAGGGTTGCATGATCTGTCCCATCGTCTGAGCCCAGGATGGCGGCCCTCATGGGACCAGGGCCTCTATCATCATGATACCCCAGCCCTAAGCGGAGTCCTCTTAGGACAACACTCCCCCAAGCTCCTTTCTGGGTGAACCAGACTCGCAGCTGGCAGGAGAATACAGACACGGCCATGGTGTGGATGCTGGTTGCGGGCATCGCCACGATCCTAGGGCCACCTCTGCCGGCCCTACAGTTTCTCTCTCCACCGCTTGAAAGAACCGGTGTGGCCGCTAATGGGAAAACCGACCCTGCTCTGCACCAGGAGGCAGTAAATTTTGTGAGTCTGTGCGAGTGGATGGAGACAACCGCGGGGGCTATAATTTCTACTTCCTGACACAACGCAAACTTCTCAGTTTATGCAGAACTAATTACAGAACTCAGGCCTCGCCATCTCACCCACCAAACACCCATAAAACGATCCGGATTACGGAGTGTGGGGAATGTGCTTCTCAGGAGTGATTCTTCCC